CAATGTACCAGTAGCACAAAAATGTATGTTGTGAACACCAAATGCACAAGTACAGTTGACTCTCAATAATCCCAGCTTTTTTGATCTTAATTGAGAAACAGTACTTAGTATGATTGCCCATTTAATCCAATTCCTAATGCATATCTTTCTTTTCTGGTACATTCAACTTTTTTTCACCCAAATTCTTCTCTTGATAGTGAAGCATCCAGATTTAATGAAACTACATCAAAAACCCAACATACAAATTTTGTTAAACTTCTGAAGTATTTCAAAGTAATACCTTGAGATGTGCCTACAGCCACCAAATACTCTGTTACACCTGATTCATGATCCTGACAGAGCCAAGAGGCCTGGATACCCTTTTTATCTGACACCCAGACATATCCATCTACTCTGTGTTCTTTGGAGCTACCTGTCACTCCAACTCTTAACCACATCACCTAAAAAAGATTTCATTGAAATCCATCTCAGATCAGATTTCATAAAATTTTAGTGTTGAAAGTTTCTGTAAGAATAACATTACCAAAGGAGATGTGTCAATGACTCCATTGGTTTCAAAAGCAGCGAGGAAGCCAGCATGATTGACAGCCCCCACCCTCAGACTGTATCTAGCACCCTCCTTCAGGGACAGTCCTGACCATATGTGGCTAGTTAGTGATGCATCACTTATATTTTTCCAGTCATTTTTCATAGCTGAAAAAAGGATTATAACATGGTAATTACACTATCAAATCAGTGTTTTATACATGTTTCAGCAGAACTGAATGTCACAAAACTTGAAAGATTTACACCTTATTACAATTAATTTTGTATATCGGGTTTCTTTCTAAAAATTTAGCATCTAATTGAAATTCAAATGCTTTGGACATGAAAGGAAAACTGAAGAAGAAAATAATTTTGAGTGTCTTTATCAGTCTACAGTTTCTTGCTTTCAAAACACTCAAAAACAAACCTGGGTATTTTTGTGATCTTGTACCACCAGAAACTTCAAAGATCTGTACTTTGATGTGATCTACACCAGATTCTTTGTCAGAATACTTGAAGCTGACTGAAAGCTGGTCTGTCGCTGACTGCAAACATTAAAATAAGTATCATATATATTCACCTAAAACTAAGATTTTTTAGTAACAAGATTTGGTCTAACACTTAACTTTTAGTTGAGTCTTAGAATTTGCATGGGTGTTTTTTCCAGAAGGCAAAATTTGGGAATGAAAAAACCTAACCATAAATTTTGATATATAAAAAACCTACTTGGAATTCTTGATCTTTAGATTGGAAGCCATCCCAAAGATAATGCAGATATGGGGGTGTTATGTCAACCACAAAACTGTTAGTGTTGTTGATAATGGAGTTGAGAGCTTTGTTGGTGGTGCGAAGAGAGGTCTGAATTCTATCTCCATGACTATGGTGGAACTTTAACCACTTCACACTGTTAGCTGTGCTGGGGAATGGGGCCCAGTCATGGATAGCTTCATAATCGTACGTCATATTTCTGAAAAATAAAAAATCAAATTTATTTCAAATAAAATATAGGTAAAGTTTTATTTCATAAAATGCTTACTTACTGAAACAAAGTTCTGATTGACTGATAAAATCTGGTATTTTATTTTCAGCAAGAAGTAATTTTAGCGATTTTAAAATGCTATCTAAAGAAGCTTTTACAAATAAAATGCAATCAATTTTTAGTGATATTCAATTTTAGCGATGCCAACACCCTTGCTAATAATGCCAAAATTATCCTCGCTAAAAATTCTACTTATACGGTATACAGATGTACATGTTACTTACGATGAATTGTGTGACATGCTCAGATTGAACTGGTCCTCCTCATATTTTATGTTATAGATTTCATAGACAAATGGAGGAGTAATATCCACTATGTATGGATTGGAGTGACAAAAACTGGTAGCTAGAGGACCTCCATATTCCACTTTGTTGATAGCTCTTACAGTGATGAAATATGGTCCATCTAAAATTCAGATCATCAAATGAATGTTGACATGAATAAGAACATGGATAATCAGATAAAAAATAAAACTAATATGTACTTGTGCCTACTTTTTATAATTATTAGGTTAACGATCAATTTGCAGAAATTCTTTTTCCACCTTTTCTCTTTTTTATTCAAATATCAAATTGTCATAGACAGAGTGTAATTATTTTGCAAAATTAAAAATAAATAAATAAAAGTGACCTGGTAGAATGGTGGTAGAAGGGAGCTTCCAATGGAGTCATCATCACACTGTTTGTCCACTGGGATTCATCAAACAGATGAGCATGAGGATCGTGTTGGGCCTTGATTTTCTCTTCACAAATTTTCTCTCCAGCTGTCACAGAGTAACCAAGCAATCCAGTCTCATTGTCATAGATACCATCCCAGTTAGCTGTAAAAAAAAAGTGTAAAGAAATGTAAATTATAAATTTTTTGAGTACTTTAAACCATTAAAAGCAGCCTAAAGATTATGTCTTAATCATAATTAAATTTCTGTCCCTCATGCTGCGTGACCATTCAAGATAGCTTCTACACCATGCGTAATAAACTGTTCACCAATACTGATCAACTACTTTGCAAACTGTTTGACATGCATAAATCTGTTCTTAAAATGCAATTTACCATGTTTTTAAGTTTTGTAACAGATTTACCTGAGATGTATCGGTTGGCCCTGGTGTACTTCAGGTCAGTCTTGAACTCGTGTCCATTGTATACAGTGTCTGACCCCTCCCCGTCTATGTGACAGATTTACCTGAGATGTATCGGTTGGCCCTGGTGTACTTCAGGTCGGTCTTGAACTCGTGTCCATTGTATACAGTGTCTGATCCCTCCCCGTCTATGATGATGCGGTGGTTCCTTCTGGAGAGATCTACCCCGACACAGTGTCTCTCCCAGTCCTGTCTGTCATCAGGAATGAGGTCCAGACAAGGGGACACCTCTAATACATCACTTGTCATGTTTATCTGGTCTGTTACAAAAAGGAATGGATAAAACGATCTGTACACCCTGTAAAACTTATCTCCCATTCAGAAAGAACTATAGAGTGTATCACTGGATATTTAAGAAGATATTTGTACTTACATATTGTAGGATCTGGGGGTGTAAAATCAGTGATGATTGATCTTGATGACAAAATATTCTGAAATCCTAGTGCATTTTTTACTTTGACATTGAAGTAGAAAATCTTCACTAATTATGTGGCAGCTACCTTTAAGTTGTTGAAATCAAACTGCCTGTTTAATCCAACTCCAAGTTTTTCATAATGTGTGTAAAGTCCATCCTAAATGAGACAAAAAATCTTAATTGCATCTAATAAACTTTTACAATGAATTCTTTAACTTACACATGATAAAACATGAAACTAGATTTACGTTAACAAAAAAATTAGAGCTTCTTTTTGTTTTACCTTTCATAACTTGAAATCATGCCCTTCTATAGCTTCCAGCAGCTCACAGTGACCACTGCCAAAGTCATAATTGAAGCTGAGACACTTTGTTGCATGTAGGTGATTGCAGTATGCTGCACACTGTCTTGGGGTAGATATCTTATATCACACTGTTTATATAAAACCCCTCTACCTGTCAGACGACCAGATTTACACTCATCACCTTCTCGTTCAATGGGTCATCACCTGTTAAGTATCATTTTAAAAGAAGTTTATACTCAATGAGCATACATAAAATATTGCAAAATTAGAAAAGTTTATCAAATGTGTCTTACTACCTGCTTAAACATAACTTCAAAATTGGACTAGCATACTATACAATTATTGAATGAGGAGATTATACAGACCTGGTCAGGTATTGGTTGACCGAGGCCGAAGGCATGTCTCTAACCGTTTTATTAAAAAAATACAAACTGCTGACTCTGTCATTCTTGTCTCCATCAAATATAGATAATGTAAAGCGTAATTACATTTTTTACATGTTGATATACTTCAACAGCTAAACAAATATTAGTTAAAAAGTTAAAAACAATACGCTACGCGGCCTCGGTCAGGGCAGGTCATCGAGGAGGGTCCTTTCAATGTTGAACTCGCAATGGGTAATTAATTGTTTTATTATACCGATATACTGTACACAGGGTTATTTTGCCCCGTGTTATTTTGCCCTTTTGAACTGTGAACAATGCGAGTTTGATTCCACCTGACAATCTGCTCCCCAGTATATTGAAAAGTATGAATTTCTAACCGTTATCAATGTCCCTGCCGTACGTCTCCAAGTCCACTGATTAAAACAATATTTAGAACCATTGTTATAGATAACGATTACTTTTCCTCATACACAGCTACAGCCACCAGAACCTGGGTTATGGGGGAGTCCTCATACACAGCCACCAGAACCTGGGTTATGGGGGAGTCCTCATACACAGCCACCAGAACCTGGGTTATGGGGGAGTCCTCATACACAGCCACCAGAACCTGGGTTATGGGGGAGTCCTCATACACAGCCACCAGAACCTGGGTTATGGGGGAGTCCTCATACACAGCCACCAGAACCTGGGTTATGGGGGAGTCCTCATACACAGCCACCAGAACCTGGGTTATGGGGGAGTCCTCATACACAGCCACCAGAACCTGGGTTATGGGGGAGTCCTCATACACGGTGACCAGTCCCTTCATCACTCGGGGGTTACTGGTCTATCTGAAGGCTTCTGACATTCTCCCTCCAGGTCAAAGGTCTCCAACTGACAGGTGGCCGGTACACTCACACCCGCTTCATTGGCCACGTGTACAGTGAAATACAGAGGAACTCCAGAAGGGCTCAGAATCTACAAGGTTTAGTACATAGTGATGAAAAATGATAAATCACAGACAAACTGGCTAGTAACTATGTAATTCCTGTACTTTGGAAGATATGCAAGTAGAGTCAAATCTTGTTAATATCTTCACTTAGACAGAGAAAAAACTTAGAGATATCTGAAGATTCATGATACCAAGGTTAAAACACATTAAGAAAAATTACTTGGAAAACAATAAGCTCATGGGCCACATCGCTCACCTGAGCACTGTGGCTATCAAAAGTATAAATCGGTTTATTATTAAAAAGGCAAAATCCAAAAGTATAGTCCCATGAACAATCATGGATTTTCGATCTTTGAGAAGAGAACCTTTAAAGAATTTTTCCTATATAAAAACTTTGGTCGGCCATTTTGGCCCTGCCCTACCCCCCGTAGGTCATGATTTGAACAAACTTGAATCTAAACTACCTGAGGATGCTTCCATATAAATATGATGAATTATGGTTTGGTCATTCTTGAGAAGAAGATTTTTTAAGAATTTTCCCATATATTTCTATGTAAAAATTTGGTCGGCCATTTTGGCCCTGCCCTACCCCCGGGGGTCATGATTTGAACAAACTTTAATCTACACTATCTGAGGATGCTTCCATATAAATATGATGAATTATGGCTTAGACATTCTTGAGAAGAAGACTTTTAAAGAATTTTCTTATATTTTTCTATGTAAAACTTTGGTCAGCCATTTTGGCCCCGCCCTACCCCCGGAGGTCATGATTTGAACAAACTTGAATCTACACTACCTGAGGATGCTTCCATATAAATATGATGAATTATGGCTCGGTCATTCTTGAGAAAAAGATTTTTAAGGAATTTTCCTATATATTTCTATGTTAAACTTTGGTCGTCCATTTTGGCCCCGCCCTACCCCTGGGGTCATGATTTGAACAAATTTGAATCTACACTACCTGAGGATGCTTCCATTTAAATATGATGAATTATGGCTTGGTCATTCTTGAGAAGAAGATTTTTAAAGAATTTTCCTATATGTTTTTATGTAAAACTTAGGTCGGCCATTTTGGCCCCGCCCTATCCCTGGGGGTCATGATTTGAACAAACCTGAATCTACACTACCTGAAGATGATTCCCCATAAGTTTCATCTTTCCTGGCACAGTGGTTCTTGAGAAGAAGATTTTTAAAACATGCCACCAAATTTTCATTAATTGCCAATTATCTCCCCTTGAATGAGGGTGTGGCTCTTCATTTGAACAAACTTGAATCCCCTTCACCCAAGGATGCTTTGTTGCAAGTTTGGTTGAAATTAGCCCAGCGGTTCTTGAGAAGAAGTCGAAAATGTGAAAAACTTACAGACAGACAGACAGCTAGACGGGCAGACGGACGGACGCCAGACAAAATGTGATTAGAAAAGATCACTTGAGCCTTTGGCTCAGGTGAGCTTAAAAAACTTGAATCTACACAAGAAATGTACTTGAGGATGCTTCCATATAAATATGATCAATTTTGGCTTTGCTATTCTTGAGAAGAAGTTTTTTAAAGAATTTTCCAATATATTTCCATGTAAAACTTTGGTCGGCCATTGTGACCCCACCCTACCCCCAGGGGTCATTATTTGAAAAAACTTGAATCTGGCCTACCTGAGGATGCTTCCATATAAATATGATCAATTATGGCTTTGCTATTTTTGAGAAGAAGATTTCTAAAGAATTTTCCTATAATTTACTTGTATGTAAAACTTTG